ATCTGATACATTTATTTGTCATAACAGCCGTATTTGCCACTTTGATGGCAAATTGACACAATGTTTCATCAGGACTGAAACTAACAATTATCTTCAGATTCCCTCAATTCTGCCGGTTATCATTTGATGAAAATAAATAAATAAAAACTGTTTATATATTTTGTTTAAATGATCAGACGAATAGCATTAAAAGTAAATCATAAATCTCAGCAGCGATTTACGGGGCAAGTTGTCGGCCACAATCACATACCAGTTAAGCGTCGCGCCAGACTCCCATTAACACATCTCTGCTCAAGCGATTGCCTGTTTACATAAACATCACAAACTTTGCAAGAGACATTTTACTATAAAAACGCAACTCGACAATTAATTCGGCACCCATTCAGTGAACATATTCAAACTTAATCCGGTTAAAGCAAACTTTTAAAACTAACCAAAATCCACCCATCACATTCCCACGGAGTCACGCTCAATCAGAAAACAACACGGTGCTGCGCAAACCACTTGCAAAAGTTGATTTTTCACTAGTAAGGATGTGTTTGAGGATATTTTTTTAAAAACCGAATTGACCCCGACAACCTTCCTATTCAGGCATCAGCGGGTCAGTGTTTGCATTGAATTCGCGGTGACTTTTCTCCTTTACATAAAAGCCACGGGTAACATAACGGAATCTGGCACGGTCATTCCATCACTCCTCTATCCAAACCGCCTACTCCCAACTGACATTGCCTCGATGTGTCATTTCACCCAACTTATACACTTGCTGCTTAAATATGAGCATGTACCTGGACATAGTTGCTTTCGCAGTACTCCGCGACTCTTTCCAGGTTGGTAAAACTGTCCAACAACGCTCTTCGTCCCGCAGGAATTTCCTCCTCCAGCAGCATCTGCAGCTCCGCCATTTTTACATGGCTTTTACTACACGGCTGCAGCGCGCGCTGAATGGATGGATCCTAGCGCCTTCAGGGGCTGTGCGGAAATCTCATTATTGTGATGGCATGAAGAAAAGTGAGCGAGTGGAAGTGCTCTGAGGGACTACCAGGCACAAGTGTAGAGCCCACAGTCGTAAGGTGGGGCCATGATATTGTTTCGTTTGACTGTTTAACCTTCTTTTTAGGGAATGTTAATCAAAGTCACGCAAAACATCTCGGAAACGACTACAAACTGTTATGAAATACATGCAGGAGGTGATGCAAATGATGACGGCAAAAGAGGCAAAAAGAGCTCGGAAATATTACAATGACTTATAAAACAGCTACAAACAAACAAGGCACACAAAATGACATCAAAGGGATACACAAAAGGATGGCTACAGATACATCCAAAGACATGCAAAGTGACTTCCCAATTACAACACAAGGCATCAAAAATGCTGTTGTGTATACAAATTGTTACAGGCAAAATGGGTAAAATGACCACAAACAGAAAACACACAAAGACACAAAAACTGATGAGAACACAAAACACAACAGACACACAAAATGACTTCACAGACAAAACTGCTAAAAGGTGCAAACGACCATAAGCAAAAATAGAGGAATGAAAATAATACAAACATTTACAAGTGGAGTACAAACACCAGAAAGTATTTTATGCTCTTCTGGCGCTTATTCCCCTGCAGAAGTATCAACCACCTATCACCATATAGCCTTTATTAGTTTATTTGCAAAATCAGTTCAAACACAAAGCTACATTATACAACAACATAAATGAAATTAGTAAAACAGACTTGGAGTCAAAGACAGAGACAAAGACACAGTGAGAGAGAAGGTTTTCAGGCCGGAATCTCCAGGTTCTCATCTCCTCTCGGGTATCCCTCCACTTCCATTGTCATCAAAAACTCTGCAAAAGGAAATCCAGACCATCAGCTTACATTTCTACAAAGCGCGCACACACTGGCTTGATGACATGTGAATGTCTGCCTCGTGTTTTAGGGTTTGAACATGTTTCACTTTGCTTCTATCTAGTGGTGATGTAAAGAATGACACCTGGAACACAGCAATGCATCAAAAGTATTACTTTTATACTTTGTACAGCTACATTTAAATGAAAAAAAAGTGATGTGTCATTAATCCTTCAGGCTACCTAGTGTATTTGGAGTCCAGGAGACTCCATGTGCGTGTGCTGTGTGGCCAAAACACCTGGCAAATCCTACAGAAGCCTTTTACGATTTCTGTTGTTGTAGTTTTATTACCATGTTTTTAGTTTATTTCACTGTTTCCACAGGACTTGAAGTATCATTAAAGTTTCCTGTTTGCTCAAGAAGGTGTCCCCAAAGTTAAGTAACATCCCTCTGTGTGATTTTTACATTTCAATTTCTATAAAAAAAGGTTTTGTAGCTTAAAAGGAATACATATTTGTTATGAGCAATAGTGTATTTTTGTACAAGTAATGCAAAAGACCACAGAACTGTACTTAACTACATTTGGTTACTTTCATCACTGGATGATGGAATGTCTCAAGTCATATCAGGTTAGTTTTAGCTAAACTTGCCTTCTGTGTAGTCGATGTCCGGTCGTGTGGAGACGACGGCCCAGGCCACGCCCACCAACAGCGCCACCACCAGGTTCACCACAATCCACGGCCGCAGGATCTGCTGCTCTGAACCAGGAGGCCTGCAGGACATGAGGGGTTAAATAGCAGTTATTATTTTACCATTCCATGTCAAGATTGAGTCCTCAGGAGGGTTTTCCAGCCATGATAAGGAGAAAATAGCAGAACTCTGAGATTCTCCAAGTTAAGTTTAATAAAGGTGCAATGGTGCCTCAGGTCTCAGTGTTGTTAAAAGGAAGATGTTCCTTTTATGTGGAAATGTGTGAATGTTTTCTGGACACTTTAGGTTTTTAAAAGAGTTTTGTTTTTAAATCTGCCATACAATTAAAATGTAAGTATTACTCAATATATAGAAAGATATTCAAATTAGTTTCATCTTGGGAAAAAACAACATTTGACTACAATTGCCTGAAAATGGCTAAAAATGGCTAAAAATATACTTCTCATACACGTTTAGTGTTCTACTAGAACCACAGAAGTACTACTAAAGTATTGTATATAATGTAAATGTAAAACACCTGCTTTTAAACCATCCTGCATCAGATATTTCCTTTCAGCCCTTTAAGCTCCTATCAGTTTTTAAATTCAGTTGCCATGTCAACCTTGAACTTTTTGTGGAAAGTATTGCTTTCATCTGTTTTCCTCTTTGCTTTTCCAAGATCACGCTAAAAATGTTGACTTATAAAAATGAAAACAAAAATCTCACCACAGAGTCTCATTGGCAGTGGGATACAGGTTGATGCGATCGCTGGCCATTTGCTGGCTGAGGGACAGGATCAGGGCTATAAAATACACTGAGCACACAAAGAGAGAAGATGTTTGGATACTTACAGGCATTTAAAAATAAAATTTTTTCAGTTTTCTATGAGATCCTGTGAAAAACCAGTAAGAAAAAAAAATGACCAGGTCCAACATGCCTAGGTTCATGATTCATTAGCTTTAGATCTACCTTAACCGGCCTTACAATGAGTAATTGTTTTCTGAATGACTTTATCAGTCTCTAACATTGTTGTGGAGGAATTTTGGCCCACTCTTCTTTAAACCTTGGATCTTTCAAATTTGTAGGCATTTGTTCATGCGCAGCTCTATGAAGCCCCACAGCATTTAAGTGCGAATGAGGTTTGAATTTGCTGCCAAGCTGGCGATCATTGTTCTTTTACATGACCCAGGGTAAGCCAAATATTACCTGTCAGACAGATGACTTCGCTTTTGAATACTTTGATATGCAGAGGCGTTCATGGTTGACTCCATTAGTACAAGGTGTCCAGGTCATGACGCTACAAAACTAGCCCAGCTCAATATCCTTCCACCACTGTGCTTGACAGTTAGTATGAGGTATTTGTGCTGATATGCTGTGTTTGGTTTTCTCTAAACTGTCCTTTGTATTATGGCCAAACATCTCCACTTTGTCTTGTTTCAGAGGTCCTGTGGTTTGTTCACATGTAACTTTGCTAACCCAAGCTGTGCTGCCATATCCTTTTAAGAGAAAAAGAAGTTTCCTCCTGGCAAACTTTACTTTTACTTCTTAAGGTTGCTAGGAGAACACTGAGATGTAGCTCTTGGTTTTCCTGCAATTTTTAACTGCACAGTCTGACCGTGGGGGGAATTTGGTGCTATGTCCACTCCTGGACTTTGGAATGACAGACCAGCAAATTGCTAAAGCCTTGATATAATTGAATTAATCAGGTGCATTTGATTAGCAGTACCTGGGTCCTATTTACTCTTGTAATTTCTATGGAGGGAGTAAAGGTGTATTCTAGTTTTTTACAGGACTGCATAGTCCTTAACCACATTAAGGCCTTAACATCAACATCGTCATCATTCTGCTTTTGTCTTGTCTTACTTACAGAAGGAAGCCAGAGCGACAGGATCCAGGGTGAGGAAGCCTCTCAGGGCCATGGAGGCCTTGGCCAGGTTCACTCTGCAGATGATGCAAAACAGCAAGGCTGTTACTTTTCACCTTCTTATTTATTCAAGTCAAAAATTCCTGTCCAGCGGGAATTTGGACAATTATGAGACTATTTCTTTCAATTGCTGGTGGAAATACAGGTCTCCAGTACATGTTTCCACCAAGTGCAGATTCTTAATTTCTTTTAAATTATAAGAGCAGTGAAATTTGGGGATCGTTAGTTTAACATTTGAGATGAACAAAATACAAGAACAATTAAAACAATAAGAGCTGAAAGATATAATGTAAAAATGCACAAGTTGAATAATTAAAGATTTTTCAAAGATAATTAATATGACATGATAAAGTCCACAAACTGAACCGCACTCCTTTAAGTAGCTTAAACAATGACATGGGTTCCACCTCCGCTTCTCAATGAGACTGCAGAGGTAGACTTCTGAGTTATTAAACTCACAAACCTGTCAAATGCAGACACAGTGCTGATGGCCAGCAGCAGGTAGAGCAGAGACTGAGCTGGGTAGGCCAGCAGGTGGTACTGCTGCAACAGGTTGGGGAGCGTGGTCATCTGCTCGCCCGCTAAGACGTACACAACAATGATGTTCCACACTGCGAAGCCGGCCAGAAAACCGTGGCAGAACAGACCTATCACCCTGCAGGTGGAGATCACACCACAGGACCACGTTAAACTGGTTTCATGGCAGCTTCTCATGCTACTCATTGAAAGTCTTTGTTTCTCTGTGACAAAACAAGAGAAAAGAACTGCTGAATTGGTGTATTTAGGACCACTGCAGTATGGTGGCACAGTATGTGAAATATTTTATATCAGATATACGTTCACCAGACACTTCATTAGTTACACCTTGCTAGTACAGGGTTAGATCTCCTTTTGCCTTCTGAACTCTCTGAATTCTTTGTGGCATTATTCAACAAGGTGGAGGAAACATTCTGGTCCATGATGACATGCTGGTGCACATTTCCTATTCCAGGTGTTCTTTTGGTTTGAGATCTGGTGACTGTGAAGGGTATTTGAATACAATGAACTCATATTTAAGAAACTAGTTTGAGATGATCTGAGCTTTGTGACATGGTGCATTATTCTGCTGGAAGCAGCCATTGGAATACAGGTGCACTGTGGTGATAAAGCCATGTTTAAATGATGCTTAGTTGGTACTAAAGGGCCCAAAGTTTGCCCACATACCATTATTCCATCATACCCAGCCCAGCCGAACCTTTGATATAAGCAAGGAGGGGGTCCATGATTTCAAATTCTGAGCCTGCCAGCCTGTCACTAATACATACTGTACTATCATACTCAGACCAGTCTGTCTGGTACTAAGAACCACGCTGCATTCGAAGTCACTTAAATCACTTTTCTTCTTCATTCTGATGCTCAGTCGGAACTTCAGCAGTTTGTCTTAATCATGTCTACATATCTAAATGCATTCGTTTGCTGCCATGTGATTGGCTGAGTAGACATGTATAAGATACATAACAGTTTGAAACAGCTGCTGCAGCTAGCTCCTGCCAGTGTTAATGTAACCCATTCTATGTGTATGTGTGTGTCTGCAGACCTGAAGCTGCTGTGGACTCGTATTGCGACATCTCTGGTGGTCCAGAGCTGTCTCGGTTCCATGTAGTCATCCATCAACTCAGAGTGTCGGAGATGCTCCACTCGCTCTCCCTGAAACCGCCCTGAACACACACACACACACACACACACACACACACACACACACACACACACACACACACACACACACACACAATTATGTTTCCATCACTTGAATTTTCTGGAGAAAATAATCCTAACCAGATCCACATCTCAGAATCCAGCCATTGTCTAAGAACATAATAATAAACATTATTGGGAGTTAAGTGAACTTGTTTTTAACATTCACAGCTTTACATGTTGACCAGTCAAATTATTCTTTGTCCTGAGCTTTATTGGATGGGGACAGTGAAGATAGAAAGATAGAGGAAGACATGCAGCAAACAGCCATCGGTTGGTCTCAAACCCAGGCCTACTGCTCTTTGGCCATACAGCAAATGGTCACCTGCTCACCCACTGAGCTAAACCGGGTGCACCGATCTGACATTTTAAAAAAAATGTTTACATTTTGAAATCTTGAAGAGCAGCAATGACATAAATGATCATGTGGTCATTTCAGAGCCAGCAGTCAGTTAAGCCATGCAACACCAAGTGCTTGGAGAGTGTCTGAGGAGATTTGCAGGGTCAGATGAGGTCAGCAGCCAGTGACCTACATAGACAAAGCGCCTGATGGATTAAAGAGGCCAGTGGTCTGGCCAGGAAGGTAATTCTAATTTTTATTCAAAAAAATTAAAAGTAAAACCAACAAACAAAAATTCAAGCAAATTTTATTTTGTGAAATATTACTAAATAATTTATTGGAAAAATCAAAAAATAAAGGGGGCAGATAGGACTCAGGAGGTAAAGCTGGGCACCTACTAATCATGAGTGTGTGTCAGTGTTCTGTTAGTTAACTAACGAACACTGACACTGTATAGTTTATTTATATATAGAACCATGGTCTTGGAGGAATCATGGTCTTCACTGTGTAATGTACCACTGCACATAGTTGAAATGGCACTAAAGTGACTTGACTTGGCTCGTACTATATAACTGCCAGTCCATTTACCACTTAAATGAAATGTTCACTGGTCATGTCAAGTCATGGTTTCATTTATAGTATTTAAAGGAAGCAGTTTGTAGAGTTTGAAACTTCTAGATGCTTTTCTGCATTTAGCTGTTCACATTCATGGTCAAAAATGAGAAGGATCATCACCCTTCTCATCATCCTGCTGCCACGTCGTGTATTTGATCCTGGTAAATCTGATTCATACTCACGGTTCCTCTCCACAAACACTTTGCCAGCTGGATGGCTGTGTCCGTGCGGGGCTGAGAACAGGGAATGCTGGGGGATGGGCGACTGGGAGTCTGTGATGATATCGTCATTTTCTGCTCCCAGATCATTGCTGGAGTGCTCTGTAGCCTTCGCCTTCCTGCCAGGTGACATTGGGAAGAGGGTTTTGTCACATGGCAGCACTAAGTCTATCCATTTATCCAGACTGAAATATGTTACTGCTTTTTAATAACTTTAGTCATTATTAGGTGTGGACACATGGACTGACATGAATATGTCAACATTGCCCCCCAAAACAAAAAAACAGTTTTTCATTTCCCCTTTTCTTTTTCTTTTTTGTGAGTTGCCATAGCAACCAGGGACTCTTGCAAGGTGTTAGAAATCCAATGAGTAATTGGAGACAACTGTAATAATCATTATGGCTTTGGTTGTGTACGTCTGCATGCTGGGCTTTGTTATCTGGACATTGCTGACTGTTGCTTTAAGCTAAGCCAACACAGCTTTTTGAGCTGATGGTGAGTCCCAGGTGTTTAACCTTAGTGGGGTTATCACCTCAAATGCTTATGACTGCCCTGTCATGTGCTGGATGACTGATAACCTAAGACATGCTAGACTATCAGCACATAAAGCTCAGAGACCTCTAAAGGCCAGAGTCTACCAAGAGACGCAAGCTTTTCAAAATAAATATGTTTAATTTATGAGTGTAAATGGGAAGTAGGTTTTCCTTTCAAAATCAAATCCTCTATATGTTACACAAACAACTCTTAGTTGTGTCTTTATTCACACAGACTCAGTGTGTCTGTGTGAATATTTTTGCTCACATTGAAAATAAGGGACAATGTAATAGGAGATAAGTTGAATAAAAGGTGATAACCTCAGCTGTTAGTTAGCTACATTAAGCTGCCATCAGGTCCTTTTACCTTCCATTACCTCTTATTACTGTCAAATAGCTCATCTCCATAACGATAGCTCTCATTGGCTCATAACTGATCTAAACAACAGGTGCATTGGCAATTTACTGATTTATAGATATGGTAGTACAAATCCTTTTGTTTGTTTTGTTCTTGTAAACCCTTTTGCTGGGATGGCGTGAAAAATAGAGACACAGAAACAAAAAGAATGCAATCATAAAAACATGATTATGAAAAATATTACCATTTTCAGTCTTATTACTGTGACATGTTTCAAAGAAGGTGGCACATCTTCTTCTTTTAATACATGTGAAAATTAAAGAAATCAGATGCTGTGGAAGCAAAATGTTGACTGCAAGCAGGCCAGTTTAGTACCTCGACTCTTATAGTGTAGAACTATGCTGTTGTAATGTGTGCATAATGTAATCTGGCATTGTTGTGTTGAAACAAGACCATTCTGGGAAAACATTTTGGGGATTTTGATTTTCCATTACTTGTATATATGAATTTTTACAGCTCACCTTTGCTTTTCAATTCCATATTCATATTTTGTAAATTTAGGCTATGAAATGAGGAAGTTTACACATTAACTTGGCAAAGGAAAGATTACTGTTTCAAATCCCCTATGAGGTTACATCAAACAAAAAAATTAGCGTTTCGTGACAAAAGACAGACCAGGAAACACTAACTCCAGTACTGCTTCCATGATATTATCTTGGTAAGTAGCAGTACAATTACAGAAATATCCAAGAGTTATATCTCAGTTTACAAAGGTGTTTATGAATAAACCACAATACGGCTGGAACAATGTCCTTTTGGTTATAATGCACATGCTACATTGGGAGAAAAAACTGCATATCAGCACAATTACGTCACACCGACTGTCAAGCACTGTGGTAAACTAAGGATGAATTGGGCTTTTTTTGCTGCCACAGGATCTGGACGCCTTGCAATCACTGCGTTGACCATGTACTCCTATCATGCAGCAGGACAACATGCTCAGTACAGCAGCAAATATGAAGGAGAATGGACCAGATTTCCTCCAGTGTGAGAGACTGATAAAGTTATGCAGAAAATGATTACTTTAAGTTATTGCTGCTAAAGAGGTTTTCATTTCCACTGTTGCTAAGTGCTCATTCATAGGGAGTTGTGTGACTATTCAAGGTTTCTCTGTAATGTAGGTCTTTATCTAACAATATAACACATCTTTGGGCAGCTGTTTTTATGGTTTGGCACTATATAAGTAAAACTCCGCTGAACTGAATTGAATTGCATTGAACTGAAATTGGTTTTACAAGCTACTGAATCATTGGTTGTGTTTTGCTTATTACCAAAGTCCTATGAAAACATTCTTTTTCATATTACTGACAGTGACCAAGTTTAACTTTTGACATCACTTCAGCTAAAGCTAACTGCCACAGTTTACCAATGATTACCTTTAACATAGTTAATGCTGCTGCTTGTACTTTCCTAATTTGATTCCTGACTGTCACAAATGACGAGTGAACTCTTTACTGAATAAAAAACTGAACGGATTAGTTCTTTGGATGCATTTTCCCATCAGTGTTGGTTTTCCATCTAGCTCAAATACGAGGATCTGACCTAATGCTGGTACTCACCTCTTCCTTTTTGTCCTCCTGGTTACAGCGACATTCATTTCTTCTCCATCTATCACTGATTCAGCAATGTTGCCATTTGGCATATCAGCATGCTCTGTTTCGTGCACTGACAAAGAAATATATGATGTGAAAGCTTTAAAGGTCACAGTTGTCAATCATGATTGTTAGCTGAGGCCCTTTATTTTTTTTAATCTCGCTTGTTGTCATGCAGCCCATCATCTAACATCTAATTTATTCTGTGCCTTTAGAACTCCCACTGCCTCTATGACAATTACAGGAAAACTGGCATATGTAACAAGAAACAGAATGGGTGTAAAGTACATGTAAAAAAAAAAGTCATGCAAATTCTGATCAAACAGACTGAAAGAAAGAATCAGAAATTCAGACGTACTTTTTGTCTTCTGTATAGAATTAGTATTGCCTCTGGATTTGGGTCACAACCTTTTACACATGTGTTAAAGCTAGTAAAGGTTTTGTTACCAACTGTAGGTGCCTTCTTCTTCTTCTTCTTCTTCTGTGGTGCTAGATCCTGTGGCTCTGGGGTCAAAGGGTCTCTACTGTCAGAATGGCTCCTGTTGATCACTTCCTCCATCTCCACATCCAGGGCGACT